ATCACTGAAGAATATTGTGACAAAAACTGACACAAATCTAATGCATTCTCTGTGACAGAACTGGCAGGGAACCATGTTTAAAATCATACATTTCTATAATGGAGTAAATTCATACAAACTGCACAGGGGATGTGGCTACATAGGCTAGTTATTATGATATCACTCAATGCCAAGAGTGTGACCCCTGAATATTTACTTTTATTATTTGATTTTTACTTGAGGAAAATGTGCACAGATTGTTACAGTTAACATTCATACGCACTCATTGCATTGGTACATTTCCGAGTGGCTCATAAACTGGCACAATTTAACATACTATTAAAGGCAGGGTGCAAACTACTGGGGAGCTAGGGGGAGGTCGGCTCCCCTTAATAAGACATGGGCTCCCCTGAAAACATGATTTGTGAAATTTTGGGGGGTCTCAAAAAATATTGACAATGTGTTATTTAACTTTAAACGTTGTTCATGTGAACTCAAAGACAGCCTGATGCTTTGTATATAGACTATTTGTGGGTGGCTGTTTGTTGTTTCACCTATCAATTCGTGTCGATAAAGTATAAATATATAGGGTAAATACTGTCTAGTGAGCGCACGAACCCCCCCACAGTATTTTTCAAATACTGTACATTATTGTAGGTCCTCTATGCCCCGCCTCTCTCAAACGCTTCGTTTTCTACAAAGTCCCTCCTTCCGACAAGCGCAGTCTGCTCTGATTGGCCAGCTGACCCAGTGCATTGTGATTGGCCGAACACCGCAAGCACTCGTCGGAAATGTAACGCCCCTTACCATAATCGCGAGCTTCATCTTTCAAAATAAATGTAAAGACAGCCTGAAAGGGGAACAGAGTCGCGTGACAGACACAGTGATGAAGCTGGTATGTGTTTGCAGTACACAAGCCACGGTTAAGACAGCTGACTCCACTGTGATGTGACCCCCTCCCTTCTCTCGCTCTCTCTCTCTCTCTCTCTCTCTCTTGCGCGCTCTCTCTCTCTCGCGCTCTCTCTCTCTCGCTCGCTCGCGCACACACCCGATGCGCAAAACTCTTAGTCTTTGCAACTTCAGGGATCTTATCTATGCACAATCAGCTTGTAACACTCCAAAGAGAAAGGAAAACTTGAAATCGCATCATATGACCCCTTTAAGAAATAAATCCAGTGGAACTGACTCAGACCTCCAGATGCTAGATGGCGCTCACAGCGGGCGCGAGCAGTGACGTGGATTTTTATCCGTTGCAGTGCGAGATCACAGATCAGAGAAGTCACTGCATTCAACTACTCCTCTGCAGTGGGTCTGGACCGTTTTTTACCATTTGTAACAAGGTAAGCACTTTCATTCATTACAATTAAACATAATATCAGAACGCTGCTGTTTGAAGTCAACTTTATCAATGAAAACTCTCTTACTTTGTCCAAACCATCTAGCTGTCAAAACTTGTTTTAATTTTAATGCGTTGGTGGCTTTGATTGCTGATCATGGGTGTTTTTTATTCAGTGTCCAGAGAGGAGCAGCACATCAACATGATTAAAGGCAAAGTTGAAAACATTAAAGACAAAATTGATGGCAATGAGCTTGATTTGAGTCTCAGTAATCTTACAGAAGTGCCAGTCAAGGAGCTGGTAAGTTACGTGTGGCTGCAGATTTGTTCACTTTACAATTATTTTGAGTGTGCCTTGGTTTTGTTTATTTCCCCCCCACTGTATTCATTTAGCATATCCTTAGGCAAAGTGAGAAAACGTTGAACATTTTTTGACATTGATTTCTGTACAGGCTGCATTTCCAAAGGCAACGGTTTTGGATCTGTCCTGTAATAATCTAACAGCTCTGACTGTAAGTAACAACTGTGTGTTAAAAAAAAAAAAAAAAAATCAGTTTTGCTGTAATTTGTAGCTTCTTTAATGTTTTTGTACTGTTTTTGTTACTTCACCAGCCTGAATTCTGTAGCTTGACTCGCCTTATCAAAATTGACCTGAGCAAGAACCAGCTCGTCTGCTTGCCAGAAGAAATTGGGCAACTCGGTAATCTCCAGCACCTGGATTTATACAACAACAAACTGAAAATGCTTCCCGTTGGCTTCTCACAACTCAAGGTGGGTTTAGGATCTCATGGCTGCAAACATCCTCTAATATTAGAACATGGCGTTTGCTCTGTTATCAATTGCAGTTGGCAATTGAGGGCATTTGTTTGTTGTAGAGTCTGAAATGGCTGGATCTGAAGGATAACCCATTGGAGCTAACATTGGCCAAGGCTGCAGGCGATTGCTTGGATGAGAAACAGTGCAAACAGTGCGCATCCAGGGTGAGTCGAGTGGTCTGAAGCAGAAGTGTCAAAGATCAGTTTTGTACTGTATAAATAAGCTTATTTACTGCATAGTCAAAGTTTTGAAACAATCAAAAATGTACAATTTCTTTTTTTTTTTTTTTTTTGTATATGTCCAGGTTCTCCAGCACATGAGGGTACTTCAGGAAGAAGCAGAAAAGGAACGAGAACGTCAATTGTTGAAAGAGAGAGGTAGGGAGCCCAAAACATCTACAGCTGTTGGTCTTTTTAACCTAATTTTTCATATTAATATTCTTTTTCCATTACAAATGATATTATGAGCATTACAAGTTGAGCAAAACATTAAGTTCAGAATTTAGAACTTGAAATTCAGAATTTTGGGGTATTTAGTTTGGCTCGCTTTTTTTATGAGTGACCTAGACATAGTATAGTTTTGAAATATTTATTCCACATTGTACATCACAAATTTTTAATTCAGTTTTTTTCAAAAATTTGAAACTTTTTTTTATTTTTATTTGCATTAATTTGATATATTAACGTATTAATTTTAGAATGTGTTTTAATCCATTACAGAACTAGAAAAGAAAAAAGAAACCAAGCAGAGGGAAAAGGAGGCCAGGGAAAAGGAAGCACAAAAAAAGAAAAAAGCAGAAGAGAAAGAGAAGAAGAGAAAGGAGTATCAAGCTCAGATGGCTGCTCTTGCTGCACAAGAACAACAGAAAAAGAAGAAAGAAGAGAAGAAAAAGAAAGCTGCTCAAAATCAAGGTACAGTTTTATCTTACATGAACTGACACTTCATTACACTGTATACTTTACTTTAGATTCATAAAATGTTGAAGTATTTGGATCTTCGATCTTCAGTACCGTTCAAAAGTTTGGATTTTAAGATTTTTAAAAATGTTTTTGAAAGAAGTCTCTTATGCTTACCAAGGATGTTCAAAAATTCAGTAATATTGTGAAATATTATTACAATTTAAAACAAGTTTTATATTTTAATGTATTTTAAAACTTAATTTATTCCTATGATGGCAAAGCTGAATTTTCAGAAGCCATTACTCCAATATTCAGTGTCATGTGATCCTGCAGAAATAATTTAAATATGATTATTTAGTACTCAAGAACATTTCTTATTATCAGTGTTGAAAGCAGTTTTGCTTAATATTTTTGTGGAAGCAGTGATCTTTTCAGAATTCTTTGATGAATAGAAGTTAAAAAGTTAGAAATAGAAGAAAAAAAGAACAGCATTTATTTGAAATAGATTTTTTGGTAATATTATACATGTCTTTACTGTTACTTTTGATCAATTTAATGCATCCTTTCTGAACAAAAGTACTTTTTTTTTTTTTTTTAATCATACTGACCCCAAACTTTTGAACTGCAGTATATGTCAGGTTGATATGTTATATACGACGTGTTACTGCATATGTAATATGTACAGCGTGTTTCAATGTTGATGTTTTGAGTTTAAGTTCTACACTTCACTATAGGTAAAAAGACAACATCAGAGTGTGTGCCCAAAGCCAAGCGATCCATCTGCTCCCTGTTCTTCTCTCTGCTCCTAAAACTCCTTCTCCTGCTAATTGTGGGAGTAGCAAGCATAATAGCAGTTTGTCAGTTGACTGAACTGAGGAAGGAGGCGTTCTGTGTTCCACTCAACGTGCACTTTGAGGAGACTGTGAGGTGGGCTCAGGGTCTGGAGGTTGTGCAGCAGGTCATTCAGAAAATGTCTGATCTCAGAACATAAAACTGTCTGATAATGATCCATCCTGCTGCGGATCTGAGCCTCTCAGGTGACGCACTGGGACCAAGTCACAGACCTGTCTGCAGAAATTCCTATGGAATTGTTTCTTCCGTTGCTGCATCTTTTTTAAACAATAATAATCCATGTGATAACTATGGACCAGTCTGTGAATGAAAATCCTGCTTGTATGTCTTTAAACTGCCAAATCGGGAAAGGAAAATGGACTTCAAGAAACAGTTGATGAATAATAACATGTGTGACCTTTGGAGTCTTATGTAATCGTTTCACAACATCTTATAATAAAAGATTTGATCGATTTTGATTAGCTCATGTTTGCTGTCCCTGTGCTACAGTTGGTAAAAGCAAAATTGATTCTTACGTTTTTACCTAAAACTTGGAAAGCTTATATACTGTTAGCTTGCCAGGACATTAGAATAATTTTGGAATTCCTTTTTAAAGAAACATATCATTGAGATCATAAAACAATTTTTTTGTTTATTGTAAGCATCAATGCACAACAAATGTGTTTTCAAGACTCTATTTTTTGTTGTTGGTATTGTTGCAAGGATGCGAAATGCCATACATTTACTACAACACAAATACATAAAAGACAAACTGATTAGTATCTTGTGTATATTCACAAAGATTTACAATGATATAAGCAACACATATAATTCATATCTGTTTTCTTCACATAAATGATTTCTTTAAAACATGCAGTATGCAAATAAAATGCAGATTAAAAGGTCTAAATTGGAGATTGTTTATAGTACAGTTTCTTAATTTCCATGCCTTAAGGAGGTTAAAATCACAATACAATAATAATATTTCTAACAATACAGTATTGAATGTGTGGTTGAGTAATCACATTTAATTCTGAATTAGAAAAATTCAGAAATATTTTGTCACATAAGGTTGTGACAAACATTACTACTAGAGGTGCCTCAGCTTTCTGTGACAGTGAGTGATTAATATTTCATATTGAGATGCACTGTAAGGCTTTTCTCTTTACATATAGTTTTCTACAAACTATTGTCACAGAGATAATGGTGTGAACGGTGCCTGTCGGATGTCCCGTGCCTTCCCATACTCCCTCTGCAGCATGAAATCCATGTTTCCAAAAACATGCTTCTGTAAAGCCTCGTTCACGGTGACCCCAAGAGTGACCTCCCGAAAGACTTCACTGATGGAGAGCTGCAGAGACAGCAAAAAAAAAAAAGAGAGATATATATATATTATTCAAGTAAAAATGATTTTTCTTTAAATACAATCACAAAAATGTTAGCTAAACAGTTAAAACAACTATACTTGTTCACTAGCGATGTGGTTTTTTGGATGTGTTTGAAAGAATTCTCTTATGTTCATGCATTTTTGGATCAAAATTCAGTCAAAATAGTTTGCTATTTGAATATATTTTAAAATGTAACTTATTCCTGTGATGGCAAAGCCAAATTTTCAGCAGCTGTTACTTCAGTCTTTAGTGTCACATAAACCTTCAGAAATTATTTTATATCACAGTTTACATTGATAATAACACTTATGATAATAAGAAATGTTTCTTGAGCACCACATCAGCTTAGGATGATTTCTGAAGGATCATTTGACTGGAGTAATGGCTGCTTTACTATCAGGAATAAATTATTAAATAGAAAAATTATAAATTATTATATAAATTATAAAAATAGAAAACACTTTAAAATTTAATAATATTAACATTATGTAATATTAAAATCTTAATTATTCAAAACATTTGGTAGTGTGCGTCAGAATTAAGGGGGGGAAAAAATCCCATTTTACTTGGGAATTAAAACAGTTTCTGAATGAATTCATTTTATTAATTCTCACCTCTTGGAAGTGGAATTTCTTGAACATGGCAATGGTAATTTTGTTATCCAAACCAATCTTGACTTCAAACTTTTGAATTCCAAGTTTATGGACACCTGTTGAGGTAAATTCCAAAAACAACAAAAACACTGTACATATAGGGAGTAGTCACTACTAAAAAGAGATGATCTTTAATCATCAGCTTTGTCCTACCGTAGTACATCATCATACGTGTCACTTCTTTCCCAAGTCCCTTTCCTCTGTAGCAGGGCACTAAAAAAAATCATCTCATGTTACTGACCTACTCAAGCCAATCTGAATGAACTAAAATGCACTGCAACCTCTATAACCTGCAATCATGATCTCCAGTTCAGCCAGGGAAGGATCACTGGGGTCAGTGAGGAAAATGTTAACATCTCCCACCATGCACTCTTGCTCCGGTATGCTCGGATCTGCCCATTTCTGTTTATCCAAGATGATGAAGGTGCACTCTGAGGGAGAAAAATCACATTATAAATGTACACAGAAACAGATCAGGGAAAATATCGACCATGTGCTTGAATGGCAACAGGACAAATGTTCGTGTGAAAAGTGGAAACTCACTGTCATCATCTTCTCTCCAGCTTCTTTGCATGTCATGTTCCTGCTCCAGTGTCAGGGGCTCTGATGCAGTCAGCTTCTGCAGTTCAGGAGAGCACATCCATTGATGATACCTGAAAACAGGTGTTAGATTAGGTTAAAACGATCTGAGACTACAGCCACCAGACACAAAATGATATACTTGATCCACTTATTAATACCTCGGAACATGATCTGCATTGTAAGGTACTAATACAACCTTCTCCCCCTCCAGTAATGTATCTTCATTTATCCTCATTATAAGCAGCCTGTAAAATAAAGTGTTTTAAGGCACATAATTATCTAAACGTTCTAACTAGCAGTGTAGCATTTTTATCACCATCATACCTCAAAATCAAACTTGAATACAGAATGGTCGATCAATTTATGTCCATCTGTTTAATTTACGTAAACATTCAACGTGCCGTGATACACTAAACAAATCGTATCACAATATTACGAGTTTCAATGAATTCAACTCACATAAACAGCGGCGCATATGAACTACGTCATCAGCATGCGCAGAAACTGTTGCGCGTTTGTTTTCTGAAACGCGAGAGGGCGCAAGACTACAGCGGTGCGTTTAAAGATCACATGCTACTTCATTCATGATGATCATTTTAAAATGTTAAAAGATTTTAAAAGAAATTCAGACAAACCAATCAAGCAACACTGTATATAAATATGATACATGTATATCTATGTATTTCATATAACACTTCAGTGAACAAATTTGATTGGTGCATTTAATATTTATTAATGCAGTTCAAATAAAAGATGTATGTCTGTAGGTCCTAAAATTCCAGCTGTTTATACATGTTATCTGTACGCTCTCCTTCTTATATGGCAGTTCAAGTGCAGTGTTTATTTATTTATTTACCAAATTGTGCAGCTTTACACACAAAAAAAGCTATTTCTCCCACTTGTTGCTCTCATGTTTTTCTTTCTTTCATGAAACACAAAAGGAGTTATTATTTTGCAACCATTTTCTCATAAGTGAATGAGAACTAAATGAAAAAAAAAAAAGATTTAAAAAATAGGCTATTTTCCAGATTGCCTGAGGTTACATGATTGTTTTCAGATCTGGCATATTTAATAATTCTTGATGTAAAAGACAAGAAGCAATTAAATGTGCACAATTTCTTCTCCTTCTACAGTGCAAACAGCACTTCTGGTGTATGCAACCTAAGTTCTTGCTATATTACAGATGTCAACATCACTGGTTCTTATGTGTATCAGATGCAGCAGATTTTAATGTACAAATCCATTACATGGCTTCAAATGATTTGGAATATATTGCATTGTATGCAGTACTTGTAGGTAAGTGTAACCTTTAAGCCCACTAATATATGTTTTCAGACATTTTTAATTAATATTTTTTTAGTTTATGTGGGGAAAAAAACAGGTTGTTCTATTTTAAGTTTTGTATGTCAATTTCGGTTATTTTTAACTTTAAAATAAAGCATAAATTATATTAGAAATAATAAAATTGTAATAATTTATAAGTAATATGATTCTAAAAAACATTTATTAAAATTGTAGTAATATTTTAATATTTGTATTAAATAATATTTATATAAAATAAATAATAATAAT